TATTTGGGTAAGTGAGCGCTTATTCAGAGTCGGTGGGGGTGGGTCGGGGGGGGGGGGTGGCCCGGAGGCTAGAGCCACTGCCCCTGTGCCCTCATTGGCTGAGGTGCCCCTCTCACCAATCCTCCCACCATCACTCCAGCTCAAAGCGTTCTGTTATCCCTCTGCTAAAGATCCACTGATTTCCGGCTAATCCGCTCCATGTTTTCCCACCCGCTCCGCAGCATCACTCACAAGCTGTGTCCCAAACTGTTGGGTGTAAGCTCTACGTTGGACTTAGTTACGTCCAGCTTTCCGATGAATATTTACACCTGTTGCACCATCTAAAACTACGACTAGGCACAGCTAAGCTTTAGCGTAGACTGTGCGTGGACACGACGCCATTCACGTTACTATGGTTACAACTTGAAATTATTGGCTCCAATGAATACATGAAAAATGGCTGCTGAACCGAAAATAAAAATTAAATTACTCTTTGTGAAACAAGAAAAACTCTTCAGTAGGTATATGCATATTTTAGTATGCAAACAAAACAATTCAGTAACAAATAAGAAAAAACAAGACATCTGGCAAAAGATAACAGTGGCAGTAAATGAAGCTGAGGGTGGATTAGGAAACCGGACAGTCAAGGAAGTAAAAAAAAAAAATGGAAAGATCTTCTTCAGGCAGCCAGGAGAGACTCTAGTCTGCTCAAAAAAAAAACAATGGGTGGGATGTCAAAATATTGACACTTTGGGCCCAATTTGGACATTTTCACTTAGGGGTGTACTCACTTTTGTGGCCAGCGGTTTAGACATTAATGGCTGTGTGTTGAGTTATTTTGAGGGGACAGCAAATTTACACTGTTATACAAGCTGTACACTCACTACTTTACATTGTAGCAAAGTGTCATTTCTTCAGTGTTGTCACATGAAAATATATAATAAAATATTTACAAAAATGTGAGAGGTGTACTCACTTCTGTGAGATGCTGTATGAACGCGCTGTTGCATCTCTGAGAACTTTTAAGGCTTATTCTGTGGCGTTTATTTAAGCCTTTAGACGGGTTGTGTCACAGAGTTGTAAAAGCGGTTATGCTCACCAAGTGAATGAATCGCGTTTGCGCCGAACTCTTATTACAAAGCAAAAACAAACACTCTTCTTCGATCCATGAACGTTTCTCTCAGTTAACGTGCGCGATGTCATCTCACAGACTCTGAAACGTCTGTCATAGCAAATCAACACATGTATGCTGTTGTGAATAATTAAGCGAAGCTTCTTCTCAAAGGATAAGAACACGCAGTCTCATAAATAATTTAATAGACACCGACGCGTCATCAATGTACTATTAGTCCATTGCCACGTCACAAATTGTGACGTCAACACAATGTAGATTTTGAACCCGGAAGATGAAAATAGCACAAAGAAGCTTAAAATTAACCAGTTTTCACCAACAGTTAAAATGATCAAATGCTAACATTGTCTTCAATGATGTGCAACACAAACACCTCTGCTAAAATCTCAGAAAAGTAGTCTGGGGTTTTCATGACCCTTTAATGTCTGTTGGTTTTAGCCAATAATCTGCCATTAACTTGTGTTTGTCTGTTTTTTTTTTTTTTTTTTGCTTTAGACATGATGGCACTAAAAGAAGAGAGGCAAGAACTTACAAGGATAGAAGAGAAAGATCAATATGAGAGACATGATTTCATGAATGTGGAAATATCCATACAGTCTGAAACAACTTCATCACAAAAAGAAGTTCAGAAGATTGAATCTAACAGATACTTCACCTGCCATCGAGAGAAGCCTTTTACCTGCAATCTGTGTGGGAAGACCTTCACAAATAAAGCACACCTTGATTCCCACATGAGAAGTCACTCTGGAGAGAAGCCTTTTACCTGCAAATTGTGTGGGAATAGCTTCACACGTAAAAGATCTCTTAAGAGTCACATGGTCGTTCACACTGGAGAGAAGCCGTTTCCATGTGATCAGTGTAAATCCATGAAATCCGTTCTTCCTCCATATACATTCAGAAAACCATACGTTTGTACTGTTTTTTTTTACTTTGTCAACTCTGTGGAGTCTGTTCCACAATTTCACTCCACATACAGAAATGCAAAACTTCTTAATGTTGTACGAACATAAAGATGCTTAAAATTACACTCTCTTCTAAGATTATATCTCTCTTCTCCATTAAGAAACAATTTTTGAATGTTACCAGGGAGTAAATTATTTTTTGCTTCATACATTATTGATTTGGTTCATTTTCAAACAGCACAAGTAAATTTTAATATCGTTGATTTAAAAAAAATAATGAATTTGTGTGATCTCTATAACCAGTTTTGTGAATTATCCGTATTGCTCTTCTTTGCAACATATAAATGCAGATTATCATCATTATCTATGTATTGCCCCAAACCTCTGAGCAATAATTAAAAAATGGGAATATTAACTATCTCTGTTGTTTTGCTTAAACGTACAGTAGATGTGTTCAAAACGCATCTTCCAGCAATGCGCTCAGCAGGGAGATATGATGCTGGGCATGAGATGTCTGTTCCCCGCAAACTCCAAATTTCTACTGTCTTTCCAGAAAAATTTATTTTTGCAGTACCTTTTTTATGGTCAAAGTATTGTGTGTGTGACAGTTCGTTGTCACAGTGTTCACCGTAACGGCACTGTTGTTTTCTTTTTGGTTTGGACTCTTTAGAGAGTTCCATCTTACAAAGAAAAATGAATTTCACTAAGAAAACCTCCCTGTGTTTAAATGCTCCTCTCACGAGTTCTTCCATGAAACGTCACCTCACATGTGACAAGCCTCGACCAGACAAGTGCTAGGTCACGGTGACGCGGTAGGTTCGTCCTATCACATACAAGAGACGTCACCTTGTATGTGACGAGCCTCGACCAATCAAGTGCTAGGTCACGGTGACGCGGTAGGTTCGTCCTATCACATACAAGAGACGTCACCTTGTATGTGACGAGCCTCGACCAATCAAGTGCTAGGTCACGGTGACGCGGTAGGTTCGTCCTATCACATACAAGAGACGTCACCTTGTATGTGACGAGCCTCGACCAATCAAGTGCTAGGTCACGGTGACGAGGCAGAATCGTCACGAGTAAGTGCGAAATGAGAACGTACAAACACAGAAATGTTTCTATATTCTGGAATTCTTTTACTATTTTCATTATTTGCTCTACGATGGCCGGACTTCGCCTCACCTTTGGTACCCCCGAGACTCTTCAGGGACGAAACACTTAAGCAAGTCCCACAAAAATAACAAGGTGCTGCTGGCAGCTATCAGTGGGCTTTCTCATCAGCTGAGCAAGTTCTCTGCCAATGTCTCCCGGGAGTTGAGCACAATCAATGAGAGACTTAAGTCTTTGGAAGAAAGACAAACTCGGCATGAGTCTAACGGCGGCTCGACCGAGGAGTTAAAGAGGAAGAGGCGCTTACATAAACCCAAAATTGCGGTAAGAAATTCCCCTAATGAAATCACCGTTGTTGGGAGTGTTTCTGTAGAACCCAGTGTAAGTTTGTTCACAATTAATTATTTTTTTCTTGTATTTTGCAGGAGTTCGTCGGCTTCATAACTCGGAGGCAAATTGTAGACGCTATGACCCAGAGCAAGGGTAAGGCTGAAAGATAAAGACTATCATACATTCTGTTGTGCAAATTCAAATAAACACGTTTTAATTTAGTGCATTTTGCTTCCACAGATTGAACTCGCCATACAACGAGGCGGTCACTTCATTTTTGGTTGGAGCCCTGTCTGCAACCCCGGAATTTCGCGATGAAGTCCAACATAATAATGCCTTTGTTGGTAAGTAATTTTCGCTGTGTTTTGCCCTATTCTGGCTATTTCTGTGTATTTAGTTATGGTTTCATTGTTAACACACCACTTTAATTGTGTATAGTTGCCTGCAAGACATATTATGAAACAGTGTGCAGAAATTGCCGGTACAGCCAACCGTGTGGCTGCAGCTACTAAGACCTCAGCCCGGAGTCGCCAGTGGAGGAAGAGGCTAAGGCTGATTAAAATCCTTAGTTTCTGTTGTGTTTTTTCCTTGTTGCATTAGTGTACACTGTAAATACTCTGTACATAGTACTGATTATATGTAACAATTGTGTTTACAGCTTTTAGAGGCGAGGCAGAGTGTTTTTGTTGCGGGTGAGATGGATTTCTGGAGGGGCATCACTGCTGACATGATGTCTGATGAAGAGGATGGCACTATTGATGGAGTGTCAGAGTGGATTGTGAGAAGTCCATCGTTCTGCTGCCAGGAGCTCAGCAATCTGTGTACCACACTGCAAGCAAGACTGGAAGCCAGTTTAAAGTATGCTGCATTGCATCATATGTGTCTGCAGAGTGGGTTACTGTCTGATAGAATGTCACCACAAACCTATGACCCCGAGGCGGCAAAAAAACACCTGAAGCCACACATGATGCCCCATCCAAGACCGTAGCCTCTGGCTAACTTACACTTGCTTGTGTGTTTTTATATGTGTGGTTTTAGGTTCTATGCTGTATCAGTAAGGTACATTTAATCAACATGTTTTAAATGTCTGTTTTCATTCCCTAATATTCATCCATGTCTTCAGTTATAATAAATAAGTTACATGACTGTCCTATACAATATTAGCCTGTATGGTGCATATATCTTAATGATTATCATTGACTAATTTGAACCATAATTTCATTAAATAATAAGGGAGGGGTTTACTCAAAATGGTATTATAAGGCTGACCAATAGGTACTGTTGGGGATTCAAGTTGGTTGCATTCATATGCTAATATCCCCCCAACACACACCTACACCTCCACCCCTCCCTCACTCACTCCCTCAAATGGTATGTTTCCGACTGTTTTTGCCACTCGCAAACAAGAACTCCCAGGGCTGCGAACTGTCAATTACTGCCGGTGATCAGAGATGTCATCAGGCAGCCACAGGGACGAAAATCTGGCTTTTCATGCAGTGTTGAGCAGGGGATGTTTTTGAAATTTGGTTCATTTGACACGGAATGACCCGTTCGGGTTTCATGACACTTTAAAGAAACCACTCCCCATTTCTCCAGTGTAACAATTCCTCGGTCAACAGTCCCTAACACAAATATACAGTACATCACAATAGTGATGTTTGATTCTTCTTCGGTTTTATGGCAGGTAGCACCAGTGTAAAGGTGTATTATCGCCACCTACTGTGTTGGAGTGTGGACCATAGTTTACCCATTTCATAAAACAAAAAACTACATTCTCTTTATCAGTTCTGTTCTTTTGAGATAAAATGTGAATTCCTTATGGATTATAGAGCTTATTTCTTTAAGTTTAATTTCTTCCACTGCCACCTTTCTAAGTTCCTTCTTCATTGTTTCTCTGATGACGCAAGACGCACAGCCGAAGTTTACTGACGGTCGAACTATCGAAGTTTGCCGAAGATTACTGCTGATCCTGATGTGTGAGTTTACGATACTTTGCAAGTCTGAGGCACATACTGGAAATATGCTTAAATAGCTTACTACTGTTATTAAATAACGTTTTATTAAAACCTGCAAAATCCTTTCTGTAGAGAGATGTAAATTAATTGTACTATAGTTTATTGTGCACGTAGATACAATTTTAAGTTGTTACGTAAAATAAATTAATTTATAAGTTTTATCTCTCTATATACTTAAGACATATCTGCATCAGTACATATCTGCATCAATGTATGTAATGTGTGCTGTAGGTGTGAAACTTTTAGGAATATTATCCAAACGATATTTGAACGACATCCTCTCAACCTGCTCAAAATTTTGAACTCACTGTGAGGACACAGTATGAGGATTGTGATCATCGCATGGTCTCACGTGTTGACTGGGATACTATGTATATCTTTAGCTTTTATGTCTTTGATGCCTAAAAATTCCTCTGCAGCTCCCACTACTATCTTGATTCTACCGAGTTTAACCTACCGAACAGATTGCTACACGTCACTTCCTGTTTGTTGCTGCCGTGTGTTTTGAGTTTGAGCTCCGTCAAGTCAATTCTTCATCGTCTATTTTTTTTATCTTAAAATCTATTTTATACACCATAATTTTCATTTATATAACGTGTGAATATATCCCTTATCATATTCTACTACAAAAACAATCAGAGCGCCTGGTTATCACTAGTTTTATTTTGATTTCCCGAGTCTGCTATTAGCTTATAGCCCATTAGCATCGCCAGCGTGGTTGCCGCTAACCTTGCTTACATTGCTAATACTCTATTCACACACATTACCATTGTTTTACTCACTGTTACTTGCTTTAATGGCAGATGTGTGTCTACCTTTGAGTGGAGGTGAGGACACGTTGAGTGCAGGTGAGGACACCGAATGCAGCTCAAGCTGGAGGCCGTGGAGAAGCAGATCTGCGACCTGGTGGAGAGGCAGGCCCAGCTGATAGAGCGGAGAGCCGCACTGGAAACATCCCGGGCTGACGCTCACAAGTCCGAGGTAAGTATACAGCACGCTACTAACTCTCCCACCACCTCTACTCCGTGTGTATCTCTGCACAGGCCCGGTGCACCCAGGACGCGATCTTCCCAGATGTCCTTCACTCCAGCGTCGGGACACCACGGACCCTGGGTGCACCCGCAACGGAAGACGCGAGCCAGACCCCGGGCGATGACCTCTCCCCCTCCGCCGCCTCCGGTCTTCGAGATCTCTACCCGGAACCGCGTCGCTCCCCTCCGCAAGACGGAACGCGACGTTGTGATCGTCGTAGACTCTATAGCACGTCCGTGCTACGTTAGCTGAAGGTAAAGTGCACACTCACTGTTTCCCTGGTGCTCGTGTTCTCGATGTTTCTGCGCAGATGCCCGCAATCCTGAAGGGCGACGAGAGCCCCGGAGCAGTCGTGCTTCACGCCGGGGTTAATGACACCAAGCTGCGGCAGACGGAGACACTGAAGAGGGACTTCAGTCTATAAAGACTTGTGTCTGTTCCCCGAATAGTGAGGCCAAAATATAAATTTAATGCAGTATCTAAAATAAATCTGATCGTGATTAAACCAGAAAAATGTAAAAATAAATGAACAAAAGCAATTTTTAAAGTTTGGGCTCCTAAACATTAGATCACGCGCACCCAAAACAGTTATTGTAAATGAAATGATCACAGATAATAGTTTTGATGTACTCTGCTTGACTGAAACCTGGATAAAACCAAATGATTATATTGGTCTAAATGAGTCTACTCCACCAAGCTACTGTTATAAGCATGAGCCCCGTCAGACTGGTTGTGGCGGTGGTGTTGCAACAATATATAGTGATATTCTCAATGTTACTCAGAAGACAGGATACAGGTTTAACTCATTCGAAATACTTCTGCTTAATGTTACATTGTCAGATATGCAAAAGAAACCTATCGTATCTCTTGCTTTGGTTACTGTGTATAGACCACCAGGGCCGTATACAGATTTCCTAAAAGAAATTGCAGATTTCATCTCAGACCTATTTGTCACTGTTGATAAAGCGCTAATTGTCGTAGATTTTAACATTCACGTTGATAATTCAAATGATGCATTAGGACTTGCGTTTACTGACCTAGTAAACTCTTTTGGAGTCAAGCAAAACGTCACCGGGCCCTCTCATCGTTTTAATCATACGCTAGATTTAATTATAATCGCATGGAATTGATCTTACTGATATAGATATCGTACCACAAAGTGATTGTTACTGACCATTTCCTTGTATCGTGTATGCTGCGTATTACTGATATTAACTATATGGCTCCACGTTATCGTCTGGGCAGAACTATTGTCCCAGCCACCAAAGACAGATTCACAAATAATCTGCCTGATTTATCTCAACTGCTCTGTGTACCCATAAATACACATGAACTAGACGAAATGACTAGCAACATGGGCACTATCTTCTCTAATACATTAGAAGCTGTTGCCCCCATCAAATTGAAAAAGGTTAGAGAAAAACGTACTGGTACAACAGTAATACCCATTCTCTCAAGAAAGAAACTCGTAGTCTTGAGTGCAAATGGAGAAAAACTAACTTGGAAATTTTTAGAAGGAAAAACAGTATGTCCAGCTATAGACAGGCTCTAAAAGCTGCCAGGGCCAAGCATATCCACAAACTTTTAGAAAATAACCAAAACAATCCTAGTTTGGTTTTTATTTTAGCACAGTGGCTAGATTAACAAATAACCAGACTCCACCCGATCTAAATATTCCCTCACAGTTTAATAGTAATGACTTTATGAATTTCTTCACTGATAAAATAGATATCAGAAATACAATAACAAATGTAGATTTTACAGCATATAATATTTCAGCTTCATTCATCGCACCAAAAGATAAACTGCAGTGCTTTACAACTATAGGACAGGAAGAGCTAAATAAACGTATCACTGCATCTCAACCAACAACATGCCTGTTAGATCCTGTACCCACTAAATTACTAAAAGAGTTGTTACCTGTAGCAGAAGAACCGCTTCTCAATATTATTAACTCGTCGTTGTCTTTAGGTCATGTCCCAAAACCATTCAAGCTGGCGGTTATTAAGCCTCTTAAGAAACCACAACTAGATCCTAGTGAACTGGCAAATTACAGACTCCGGCATCGGGCCCCACCATAGCACAGAAACAGCACTTGTTAAAATTACAAATTACTTGCTTCT